TATATATATATATATACCAGACTAACACATATCTAGTAAATGCTAGGGCATTCTTGAAAGAACAGGATATTTCTAGAAATACGTGGCGTGATACTAGTCACGTGACCTCGCTGACGCAACAATATATTGTTTGCTTAGTATTGTTATAGAATAAAATAAGGAATATTATGACTTTCATAATCACAACTGAGTAAAGAGCTCATAAATAATATTGGTATATAAAACCAATACAGAAATATCTAGTTCTTTGTCCTGTTAATGTAACAATCTTTGTGTATTGATTAATATTTTACTCTGGTTAAAGTAAAAATATTTATAGTATTCTCTTTATTAAGGTTAGTGCACTTCAGTTATCAAGATGCCACCAAAGTTCAAAAGAAACTTATCTCAAGAGGATCTAATGTCAGCTCCTAATGTAGAAAAGGTAAAAACTCAATTTTGTTTTATACAAGTATATTTATACTGACTTTATTTTACAAAATATTTGTAACTCATTCTGCATGATAGATTAAAATGAGTAACAAATAAATCATATTACTGCTCATCTTATTTGGAATAAAATGAAGATTCATTGTTCATTTTTTGAAGATATTTTATATTGACACGTTTAACTCAAAGGGCACATACCACAACCTTTAACAGGGGACCATTCAATATGGTATTGCATATTCAGTGTCAGTTATCAACTATTCATTATACCCTACATGGTTGATTTAACAACACTTCATGGTAAAGGAGAGTAAATACCACATACAGTATACAGGGATATTGAAGGAATACTGTAAATGAGCATTTCAGAGGTTCTGGAGATTTTGCAAATACAATATGCAAAATGTATGATAGACAAAAGTGTTTTTACTCTTCACATGAATATAACCTTGTGCTCTGAAGTTTCAGCCTGAAACAAACTGACATCCTTAATTCACAGATATGTCTTGGGTACATGTACTTTTTTAACACATCAGACTTTTTTGTATGCCACAGACTTTTACCTTTTACTAAAAGCTTGCCACATTTCATGTTCATACACTTAATAGGCTTAGAATTATAGCAAACATTCCTTCTCTAATATGGGGTCGGTCCAATGGACTGACCCCCATGCACATTTGGTTAAATGTTTTTAAAACATAAACAAAATTGTGCATATTAATTAATTCTGTTTTATATCTGCATTAATGATAAACCCAATTGGGAAGAAAAAATTAATTAAAATTTAAAATGTTTAAATGAACAATGTTTTCTCATATTTAATTAACAGGTTTTTGAACATTCTTTCTGTAATGTACATTTATTTTGCCTTTCACATATTTAAAAATTATGAGTGAAACTTTTGGAAAATCATATCTGGTGTTTGAGACTTATGACAATTTGTGACTTTTGGGTGCTGTTATTTGTTTATGCATATTTGTTTCATTAATAAAACATATTTCTAATTTATAGGAAAGACTTTTAAATCCTGATGATGAAAATGAAGATGATGATTTTTTTCTTAGGTAAGAAAATTACTAAAACAAAGCATGGGGTGTAATTCTCATGAATTTAATGTAGTTTTGGTAGGAGTTTTATTGACTAAGCAATTGTATTTTTTCTCTCTTTCAAAAAGTCTTTGATCAGAATACATCATGAAACTCAATAAGTTAGCTTCTTAAGGAATTGATAAAAGTTAAAAAGTGGATAGAAAGTTGGCCTGGTGGTCAGAACCAAAGGGTGATAATTAAATTGTTTTTATTGTGAGACTGTAACTAGCATTGTGAAAAATGTTTCCTTAAAAACAGTGGGTGGATAGTATCCATCCAGATCTTTGTTTTTTTACTCTAATGCTGGTAGGTCTTATACTTGCCCTAATCCTCTATCTTAGGCACAAGCTACATGCTACTACAGTGATAGTTCCATAAGACTTGTATATGCTTGGCCCTGTTTCTATGTCATGCCCTCCTGTAGTGGGGTAATACTCATTCCAAGAGATGATACAGAGTTAGTCTGAGATGGTGTTTATTTTCCCTTGAGTTTATTTAATGGGAATGATTTTTGATGTATGTAATCTAAAGATTGTAAGATACTGTACTAGAACCTTGGTTTGATTTAACAGTATGGTCCTTGTCCTATTTGGAAGCCATTTTTCTTGAAATGGTCTTTGTTTTGTGTGTATTTTTTGCTTCCTACCATTTGAAATCTAAATAACAGTGAAATAGAAGCTGGTTCATAAGTTGAAACTTACACCTTGAGTTGTATGAGTAAACATGTATTCTATTTGCCTACTAGTGTATATTTCAGTTTCCCATACTGTCCATGTTCACTTTATTTTCTGCAAGACTTCAAAACTTACATTTTATGAATACTTGTAACTATCTGATGGATATCAGTATACATGAATACCACATTTGTTGCATTAGTTGTTGAACACAGAATCTTGGCTCTTTCATCATCAGAAAAACTTGTGTAAAACTCAATGAAATGGGTGATATTTAAATTTCTAAGAGTTTGATCTGCTAGGCGTAACATGTATTATATATAAATGATGCAACCGATTAGGGTGTCAAGAAGTTTGCCTTGACTGAACCTGGAATTTCATACCTGTGGCTCACATCAGGCCCAAAATATGCTCCACACAAATTAAAATCAACAATATAAACAAATCCTGTCTACCAACTATACATGCACACACAAAAACAGCATGCCAGTCACTGAATAAATTATGAAGTGGATTGTTTGATTTTCTCCCCACCTCAAAAATAGCCAGTTTTTAAGTTCCTTATTTTCTCCTGAGCAGTAAGCCAAGAATTCCAAAACATACTTACCTCCTCTCCCATTTATAGCTATTACTCAACTGCTAAGGTTTCTTTCTTTACCCATCTAAGCATTGGTCTGATTTTTTCTTGCTTGCTCCAGTTTTTTATACCCCACTCAATTGCCCTTGGCAATATTTATCTTGTGACACTCTCCACTTATATCAGTGCACCCTCTCGTATTGTATATAAGCACATCATTCAGATAATGTTATCACTTTTTCTTGACAAAGCATTATTAGCAGTTTCCCAATATTACAATCATTCAGAGATACTTTGAATGTTATCCATCTTTTCTAGTTGATTTTCGTAATAAGAATTAAAAAAAATTTTTTTTTTTATTCTGATTGGCAAGCCAGCATATGGTATGAATGTCACTATTATTATTTTTGGCACAGAAGTAAGACAGGTCTTTCCTGTCCCACCTCTTGTATCTAGTGTCGCATAACAATCAGGTGTGGGGGGCAGTAATTCTTGGTTGAGGCTGTCAGTGATCTTATTCATAATGAGGTGAAGTCATATATTCGGTTCTGTGGTAGTTCTCCAGGGGCTCTGAGGCTGTAATTGAGGATGATCCTTGACATTCTGAATAGAACTTCAATTCACTTTTTTTCTGTGCCTTCTTTTAGTCTCTTGGCTTTTCAGCCCCCTGTGGGACAGTGGTGAGTTTGCAGACTCGCAGCAGTGTAGTCCGGGGTTTGATTCCCTATGTTGGATGGTCCAACGTTGCTTTACTCTAACACTACAACTTTACCTGACAAAATGTTGTTCCACTCAATGGTAATCAACAGTCTTTAAATCACCTATCAAAGACAAACAGGAGACCACTTTGGGATAAGCTGCCTTTGATTTAGTTTCTTCTATTGGTTCATCGAGAGTGTGTGATGTTTTGGTCCTTTTCCCAGTTACTTTTTCCTTTTCTCTCCATCCATGGATATTGTGGTTCATGCTGGAAGGTCACTTCTGAGTTATGTTAAGGGGCAACAACTGTTCTTTAAGCATTAAGGTTCATAGCAGTATAAACTGTTCTGACTGAAGCTTGAAACAAGGACCTTTAGATCACAGTAGTGTGTGTTCTGAGACCAACTGAATTAATAGAGATAAAGATCTGAATTGAGGCTATTCAGATCACACAGAAGTGACATTAGAATTGGCCCTTTTACATTTCGTATGTAAAATAACATATAGTCAACATAGAACCATTCTTCAGTATTATCCTTGTACACTTACCCTTGAAAAAGTAAAAATCAAACCTATCCTTTTTTTTTTGGAAATCATCAATTCTTCTCTTAAGATCTTTTAAAGTGCTGGCCTCCCCTATTGCTGATGGTAACTCATTCCATGATAAGTCAATCACTCGGTTAAAAAATAGAACTATGTTAAGTTGACCCTAACCAGCCTTTTCCAAATTTTAAACTTTACTTTCTCATCCTATTATCTTCATAATATGGCACAAAGAAACCAGAGGTCTGATTTCATCTGATAATCATGTAAACTTCAATAAGATCATCTTTTACCCTTCTTTTTTGTTTTCAAGAGAAAATATGTTAAGAGATCCTAACCTATTCTTATAAGATAACCCTTCCATCCCAGGAAGCATCCTAATAGTCCTCCTCTGAATCTTTTACAATAACTCTAGCACCAAAACTATACACAATATTTCAAGTGAGACCTAACTATTAAACTGTATAGAAATAATAATTCTTTGATTTGTTAACATCACTATTTGTAACAGAGCACTGCTTCAATGACTTAAGTGACTTATTCACTGCTATGCTAAGATCCTTTTCTCCAATCACACTATTGAGTGAATTCCAATCTATTATTAAATGTGTGATCCAAATGTTGACAATCCAAATGAATTACCTTGCGCTTAATATAATTAAAAGTCATTTGACAGTATTTGTCCAACTTATGAATTGATCAAAGTCACTCAATAATATTTTAGTATTTTTAGTACAGCTTGAAATACCAGAGTTTAATTCTTCAAAAAAACTTAACTAATTTTCTAATTATTCTCCTGTAAATATCATTAATGTGAATAAAAAAAATAACAGGCCAAAGCAGTGACCCTAAGCGTTCCAGTGGTATCGAAGTTCCAGTTTTTACTAAAGGAGTCTAGTCAGTCTTTTTACTTTCTTACATCCCACTGCCGTACAATACAATTAACTAGTCCTTCCCCAACTCATGCTGATGTGGTTTACTTAAATAATCTTCTATGTGGCATTTTCAAAAGCTTTGTTTTAAAAAAAAAATTAAGTATACTAAATCCACATCCTTTCCATCATCTAGATAACATGTAACATCCTAAAAGAACAAAATTGTAAGGAAGGTTTCCTTTTGGTGAATTCATATAGGTTTTTGTTTATGATGTTATATTATAATGACCCTGCAGACATAAATCAAGTAAGGGATTGCTTAAAAGGCATCTCAGGATTTGTTACCACAAAATATTGGATTTCCCCATGCAAATTAAATATTTGGTGCCATTGGGATCTGAGGAAATTAGCCTAGACAGAAAATGTAGAGACTGGACAGAGAATGAAGCAGAAAAGTTTTCTTGGCACTTACTTAAAGCCTATGGTGGACAGTCACTTGTAATAGCCAAAGTTGGGGAGAAAGCTGGTTTAGCAGTCATTTTATCACAGAGCAACAACATTCTTCATAAGCCTGGAAACCACAGATCAAGCTCTCCTGTGTATTACTGAAAACTGTGAACTGCAATTAGTAAGTGCCACCAAAATAATATTTGCGACTGACCCACAGGTGGTACTGTGTAAAATTCAGAGTGGTTGGTCCCAAGATGGATAGTAGAATGCAAAGCAACTGAATGTTGTCCATTCGGGGATAAAGATAAGTAAGGAAGCTGACAAGCTTGCAAAATATCCCCTTTATGAAATCCAGCACAATTTTACTGGCAAGATAATGACTTTCTCTGCACCATTGAAGGTCTTCATCAACATTCAGATTCAATGAGAATGCTAGAAAACAAAATACAATATGGTACAGCTAGGTAAAGCAAAAGATGGGGAAATCATTAGGACAATATATACAGCCAGAAGTCTTCTTGTAATATCAGTAAAGAAACTGTAAAGCACTTTACATCTGTACATGAGGGGTCAATGAAACCCCTGAGATGGTCACCTAGTACTCAACTCATCATATTACACTAAATGATTTTGTAAAAACTTTACTCTACTAAAATTAACTTGCCTATAATTTAATTGGCAACTTTTATGACCCTACCAAAAACTAGGAACAACATTATCACTCTTGAATCCATAGGCACTTGCTCATATCTTTTGACCTATAAAAAAGAGAGAGAGACTTGCATGTGTGGTATTTGACCTTCTTTAAAACCTTGTCTGGCCCTGGTGCTTTATATACTTTTAATCTCTCAATATTACCACCAAAGAATTAAGATTTACACAATTCAAGTCAATTCCATTATTTTCTGTAGAGTGCTTAGGGTGGAGAATATATTCTGAACAAAAAATTTTGAGCTGAGTTTTCTTGTACTAAAATAGTTAAATCAAATATAGGTTAAAATTCTCTAAAAATATTTTTACATGTTTGTAAGCTTTTGCTAAGAATATTGTAGTTTTGCTTGGAATAATTTTTTTCCTGATAATATTTTCTCTAACTAATAGTTTGTCTATTACTGTTGTTCTGCCTTTAAAATATTAAGCCTTGATTTTTATTTATTAATTTTTTATTCGTAGAGGACCAACATCTAAATCTAGAAAACTTCTAACAGAGGATAGCAAAGTTAGACAGTGAGTATAGTGGTACATGAAGATAATTTTGCCTAAATTGTTTTCTATATAAAAAGGATGGATTTATAGTTTTAATTTTAGATACATACTGTCTTTGAAGAATCCTTTGATATTGAAAGAGATGAAGCTTAAGAGTGGACCAAATGTTAAAGGTTAGATTCAACATTCTGCATTGTACATTACGGCTGTTAGTGTGTATTTTACCCTCGCTATATCATACATATTTTAATATATTAGCTTCATGCTACTGACATATTTTTATACCATACGTTACTAGTAGGGTTCACATATTGCATCATATTGATTAATGTTGTTTTTACCTATTACAATGCTTAGTGTAAGGCAATGAAAAAATAATAATTCAGTGAAATTACTTATTTTTTATGTAAAATAGGAGATAAGACAAGGAATTATTGAGATTAATTTTTATATTGATTGTATTTTTGTTTAAATTTTTTTTGTGTAACTCGTATGTTGTTAGGGGCCCTGTAACCAACATATTTGTGGTGCTATTAGTAATATTGTGCATAAATAACTTTGAAAAATCTGTTTAAAAAGGCTGATATGGTATATCAGACATTTTAGAATTAGAAAACATTATCCCTGGGTGTATGGGAAGGTCAAAGTGCTAATGTCATGACCTTTTTTGTTTAGTTACATTCAAAATTTAATTAAACAATTTTAATGTCAATAAGCTTGGCATAAAAATGTATTTATAATTTAGAGTTTTATATTATCTGACTTTTAATTTCTTAATTTCAAAAGGAAATAGTTAAATAAATTGTCAATCCTCTCTTCAATGTATCACATGATGCAGCTGTGCTCCAAATCTTCTGAGTGACCTGCCAATTACACATTTTACTATGGATATTGGCAAGCCACAGAATATAAATTTCTAGCTTTCATATAAATATAAAATATAACTGAAATATAAAAAAGTTAAACCCATATGCTACACTGTTCCTATCTCATCTTGTCTTGCAAAAAAAGGCAGTAATTCTCCTTGACATTTACTATTGAAATATTTATATCCAGTAGAAAGAGCAGCTTGTTCTTTACAATATTCATTAAGAGACTAGTTCACTTGGGTGCTTGTAATCAGATATTTAGCCTCAGTTTCATTTTTGCAATCATATTTTTCTGCTCTGAATAGGAAAGGGAATTTTTTTAACCTATTTATTGCTTAGTTAGAAAGTCAGTTAAATTATATTCGTTTTCAAATATTCTGTTCTAGCGCTTGATATATTTTTTGTGTTCTAAATTGTATGTTTGAAAACTCCAAGAATTTTTATTTGAAGAGCTAATTTAGTGAAAAAAGTGAGGCTAACTAAGCTATGGTTTGCACTCGAAAAGATCACGTGTGTCATGTACTTTGCTCATGGTGTTTACGGCCATGGCTCATCCATTCCTGCTGTGTTTATTTTTAACAGGAGAATTAGCTCTCAAGTAGGTACTTAAGTACAACAGCAAAATCATTAAATTACAGAAAATAGATTTGAAAAGGTTATCAGTTGAAACTTTGAAAATAAGAACTACTTTAAATAAAGAAAATTATGTATGAAAAGGGAAAAAAATTTTTTTGCTAAAGTTGATGTCAGGGTAGATAAAATCTACTTTTACTAAAACAAACACCTGATATTTATTTAGGAGGTTCTAGCAGCAATATCAATTTAAACATGAAAACTGTAAGATGAAAAAAGTATTTTTATTCTTAACATAAAAATCATTTTGCACTAAGAGACTAGTCAGAGCCTGAATCAGACTGACTTTGTAAATTCACAGAAAAATCTTTATTGAAAGTACTCTAAAAATTCTGTTTTTTGGGTATTTTTTGTGTACAATAGACTTTTTATGTTTACTAAAAGCTTGTCAAATTTCATGAAGACACACATAGTAAATTCAAAATAGCATTAAACATTAATTCTCCAATGCAACATTAGTCCAATGGACCCACTTAATATCAAGATTTGGTCATTTTTACCATAATTAAATTGGAAGAGTTAAAGTTTAAACTTTGTATAACATCTATAGTTTAAGAGCTGAAGACTTTAATACTACCTTTTGGAAAACATTATAACTGTATAGTACTTTCAGTAAAATGTGTAAAGTAAATAGTTCTGAAGGTTAAAAAAATTTGAATCTAATTTAAAAATACTTTTAACTAATAATAGATGCTGTAAACATCACCAGAGGAACTGAAATTGTTAAACAAAAAATATTTGGATTCAACATTACCTAACACAGTGATTAGATTTTCAACTTTTTATTTCTAGCATTGAAGGATTGTTGTTTCTATCAAACATAATGTTGTAAAATATACTGAACATATAAATTCAGCTTGGAAATAAAAAATTTTACTTTTGTGAATTCTCAAGGGTTCAGTTCCAAGTAGATGAAGTAACTGGTATTATGAAAGAAAATATTGGGAAAATAATGGAGAGAGGAGATAGATTGGAGGAGTTAGAAGATAAGTCAGGTATTTGCAAATTGCTTTTAACATTTTAATTATGTAAGTAGTACTTGAGGTTTTACCCTTCTCTAACTAGAAAATAATAATCTTTACATCAGGAATCAAACAACAAAATTGCAAATGTTCTACATTTAGTTAATACCCTTGTGAACAGAATCTAAGTATTTCAGAGAACTTGTTTGGCTAAATTTCCATATCTTTTCTGTGGGTTGTGGGTCATACCAAAGTATAGGGGTGGTGCAAAGGTTTCTACAAAATATCATGAGCTGGGTGTTAACCTGTTCTTGAATAATATATATGTCTATATTTACACACACTCGCATACACACTAGGAATGATCACAAGTGTATGATTGTGGGATACTGCATGTTGACTTAGGTGTGTCTTGGATCAAGACCTGTTCTATCCTCCTGCTTTAGCAGCCAGTTAAATGAAAATGAAGCCAGCTAGTAACTTACAGTAAATGCAACATGTTCTGTGTAAACCAAAAAATATTTTATTGTATGTATACTTGTATTTGAATTTTTCCTTTGTTCTCCATGCTTTATTCATTCCCAGCAATATATTTCCTCTCAAACTTCCTATTTGCAGACTTAGGCTTACCTGTTGGTCCCAGTTTTACCAGAGAACATATTTTCATATATGATATATGCATATTTTATTTTTGCAAGATCCTTACAAAATTATTTATCAAATTCACACAGCTAGAACTATGTTATTTACTTGCATTTACTAATAATATCCTCCTTATAATATTCTGATTGATTTATTTTTGTTGTTGTTGTCTTGATAGAGCCTTTGGAACTCAGAATTCTCATATTTAAGAATATAGGAAATATTTAGGGATATATAGAAGATAATTCCACTGTCAAATTTACCTCTATACTCAGAACAGCTGATAAAGATCATCAGTTTGAGCTAACTATAACTTCTTGTCTATTTGTCTACCCAACAAATGGTTAAGTAAATTAAAAACAACAACACCATTGCATTATTGTAATTCAAAAACAACAGTTATAGTTTTCTATAAGAATAAATGTAGAATTAGACTTCTAAACTATATACTTAATGTCTCAATATTTAAGTATGTACTTCTGATCTAGTTGTTAGACTACTGAGCTATGTCTACCATGGACAGTGCATCTTAGTCTTTAATTTTAAACACATGAATGAAGTCCCTGCTAGTTAATATATCAGTCAGTGTAAATGAGTCTCACATGTGAAACCTCTGTTCATAGCATAATGTTATATACGGAAACTATATATAGTTCTTACTCTGAAATTTATAATTTTTCTAAATAGGTACTAGAACCCTGTTAGCTTATTTTACAGTGGCTGAGTGTTTGACCAAAGTTTTCAAGCTTTCATTAGTAACCACTTTCAAGTCAACTGTCTTTTAACACCTGTTTAAATCTTTTAGAAATTATCCCAATTTTTATTCTGCCAGTACATTGTCATATCTTTCTATCATCTTTTTTGTAACATCAGTTTAAATCTCACAGAAGAAATTCTTTCCAAATTTCTGTACTCCCAATGCAGTACTTTACATTTTTAAAATCATGTATTGAAAAACTTTTTACTGAAGATTTTTTCTACTCAATTTTATTAATATTCTCTTTCTCCATAACACCAATTAAAATCTAGCAGAAATAATATTCCAAAATTTCTTTACCCTCGGTGCATTACTGTACAATTTTCAGTGAAATACTGAAACAAATTTTGAAAGTTTTTCTACTCTCTAAGACTGCTTAAGTTCTTATAAGTTAAGGAAATGTTTTTACAATATAAGTATTATACAATGTCATACAATAATGATCAAAATTTTATAATTTTCTTTCCAAGTATATCATATATATATATTTACATTTTTCAACTAAGCAAATGTGATGAAATCCAATAGTTACTTTCTGCCAATTAGAGTAATACCTATTTATCAGCCTCCTTTTTCATCAGTATTATAAAAAGATTTAGCTTTCTAAGAAAATTAACTTGTTGACCAATATTTGAATAGAGATTTTTAGCAATTTAAGGTAAACAACATAAACTGATGACCCAGCAGTTACTGTGCTACACTATGAACCTACAGGTCCATCATTCATGTCCAGTTACTACAAGGAAAACAATTACACACTGTACCTTTGTGCTGTTGGTGCCTTATAAGGGTAATCGTTGATTTACACTGTTTGATCAGACTAGAATAGCCTAAGAGTTGGTGATGGGTGCTGTTGACCAGCTGCTTTAACTCTAGTCTTTTGGTTCGAAATTATGGTTGGCTAATGCAGATAGCCCTTGGGTAGTCTTACACTAATATTCAAAAACAAACAACATAAACTGGGGGTGAAGTAATCCAATAAAGCAGAAACCATCAAAACATTGACTAATAAAACAGGGAACCTCCTTCTAAAACCATGTTTAAAATTATATATATATATTATACCAGATTTCAAGACTTTTCCCATGTATTATTTGTTACAGTTACTTTTAACACAGTAATGCTGATAAAAGTCAAAATAATTTACCTCTAACTCTTTGGATTTTCTCTTGACTTATTGTTTCATAAACAAATAGAGACCACATTAGCAATTATCTAATCATTAGGTATGTCACCATTGTTTAATGGTCCTGACAAGGTATTTACTAAATTTAGGATAACTCTCATTTAGGCCACAACTTTTTTTTCTTTTAGTTTCCCATGTTCTTCCAAAATAACTACCTTGAGTAATAATATAACAAGATCTGACTGATACTTCTAAGCTTGTAAAATTACTTGAAAAAAAGTCATCTAACTATTTACTTTAGTCATGGTCCTTTTTATCTGTAATAAGTTTCCCATTAGAATATTCATTATTATATTTAACTCTTTTATTAATGTTTATATAAGAATTAAATCTCTAAGTGGTGTTTTGTGGTTTGGTGTATGTGATTTTAATACATCACACTGTCCAAAACAAGATGCTTTATCTTTCTCTTTTGAAATATTCAGTTTGAACATCCACCTAATTAATGTAACCTTATAGTTGTGTTTTTGTATTATAAACTAGGTTTTTGGATTACTATTTGTGATTATGAAGTTTTGTGTCATAATTATTTAATAAATTGTAGTATTACATAACTGGTTATCATTCCATAAAAGTTACCAATGGGGGTAGTTTCCTGCTTTTATTCACCTAAGTTAATTTAAGAGTTTTCTGCTGTTTGAGTAATCATGAAGAGTTTAACACAAACAAGCTCAACAATATAACTAGAAGAAATATATGTATATATACTAGCTGGTATCCATTCAAAGAATGGGGAAGACTTAGGGGTTCAGATCTGACCTCTGACCCCTTGTGCCACTCCTTGGGGCAATCTTAGGGTTGATGATAATTGATCCTTCAGTTATAAGGGGATACACACACACACACACACATACACAGATTTTTGTCAATTAGTAGTCTAGATATTGTTTTTTGCATTTATTTAATTGTATGTATACTTTTACAGAAATGCTGTCAACCCATGCAGATCAATTTACTTCATCAGCTAAGAAGATGAGGAACAGGATGTGGTGGAGGAACATAAAGGTGTTTTTTTTTCTTTCTTCATTAACAATAATAATGATTTAATGATCATACATACAAAATACATTCTCTAATTTTATAATTACATTTTTATCTGGATTGCAAAGTCTTCAAAGTTCCTTTTTCTTTCTAAAATAAACTATAGTTTAAAGAAAACAGAACTTTTTGACTAAAAAATATAACTGCATGTTTACAAGTAATACTGAATTGTAATTTATGATTTTTCAACAATAATTACTAGTCAATGTTTAAATGACAATCACTAACTTTTCTTCATGTGATTATCAAATGGGTTTGGGGAGTGAATTTCATGTATATGCTGTTGTGCATTTGGGGGTGTTTTATAATGGTCAAGACCATTTTTTGTTTGTAGCCAATGAAAGTTGTCTAATATAAAATAAGCATATTAGCTACACTCCAAGCCACTACCAAAGTGATTAAATTAATCTAAATTGTATTAGTTTAAAAAATGTATGTATTCTTATTATAAGAACATAGCAAATGATTCAAGTTTATTATAAATTAACTATAGTGCAAATGAAGTACATATAAATCAACTGTATTTGGCTGTTTTAACATTTTATGTTCAGACTGTGGTACAGGTTAATTAGAGCTGGATGATTAGTAGTATTTGCTAATTTATTAATTGACAGGCTCATTAATAAAATAACAAAAAATGTTTGATTAATCAATTAGTACATGCCCCCTCCAGCCCCTGCTCAAGTAGGCAAGGAAAAATAAAGTGGGTGTATTCTAGCTTCTTCAGTGACTGCATTATTCTAGTATGGTATTAATATTCTTATTTTTATCAACTTTGTTTCTTTTTCAAATAATTCTTAATTTCAAATGATATACCTCTTCTGAAGGTTGCCATTTGTACATTTTATGAAAAACGAAATGTATTTTTTGTCTAAAAGGATATTTTGCCATAAATTTTTCTTTAAAGATAATCTGAACATTTCCTACTTAGCAATTCATTTGCCAATGTTCACCAAATACCACCACATGGTTGCTATTATATTTAGTTAAAAAATATGCAATAATCTCCAACTGATCTTGTGTAAATCAAATAAAAATAATATTCAATAAAGTTTTGAGTCATCAGAATATTTTGCCATACTCACTAAACAGTAAGCTTAACTAAACTTATCTGATTTGATGACTGTTTAATTTTATTTGGTGAACATAATAAAAGAAAGACATGTTTCGTTAGTAAATGATTAAACCACTTGATGTAGCACCTATACAAAAGTTAAGGGAAATGCTTGAAAATTAAAAAATGGATTGTATGTTATTAAGTGGTGATAGGTTTTTTAGCAAATTAAAAGTTGCTTTGGGATGGGGAGAAAATGACAGTGTCAATTCTAAAGTATTTTTATGTTAAAATTGTTGAAATATATTTAGAATCAACATATAAACTTAACTTTAAAATCTGTATCTCAAATATTTTTATCAAATGGAAACAAATATGATGAGCATGAGTAAACTCTGCCTTTAGACCTCAGGCATAATAATTTACAAAAGTTACTTTTTTAATCACATACTTTTTACATGAAAGTGTATTATACACAACAAAACTGTTTTTTTAACATTTAGAAACGGTAAAAGATATATTCACTTATCAGTCATCTGTTGCAATAATACTGTGTACACTTTCAAAACTTTTTATTTAAAACACTTGTTTTACACTTGTAAGCATATTTATGACAATGTTGATGGCTTGAGTGTTGCAATATGTAATTACACAGTTTCTCAAACACTTTGTAACCAACAAAGGGAAATGAATCGTCAAAACTAGATTTATTTATTAAGCAAACACATACTTAGCTAAATTAAAAAAATCTAATAAATTGAATATTCTTCAGTTTATTTTGTAAAATAAAACTTTTGTTTTTTTTTTAACTTTGTCTTGCAAAGTTTGAAAACCACTATGGAATAAATACGAATACAACAGTCTGTTCAGATAATATTGTGTTATTGTGTTAACAATTAACAAAAACATTTAACTTCTTCACACTAACTGTAGTAATGTTTCATTTTAACAAAATGATGATATGACTCCAGTAAACATTTGGTATGTAACACTGTAACCAAATATTTAGTATTTTCTACATGAAAGAACTGACTTCCTCTATACTAATATAGTACCTTGGATTAATTAATGTTGACCATATATTCCTAACATAACCTCAATAAGCTCAACAGGTTAAAATAACAATATATTCTGTAAATGATTAGCTCAGTCAGGTGATAATCTAGTGATATCAAAGCTTGTATTTTTATTTCTGGTGAAGTGATTGATATGAAAATAAAAGCGGTTAAAAACAAGACATATTATTTTGCATTTTCTCCTTATTTAGACATCAACAATACAAAAAACATCTTTCTCACAAGAATTTTAATTTCTAAAAAATAAAAAATTTATTCTGTAATAAGTCTATGTTATAAGAGTTACAATTGTCTTAAAAATACTGACTTCCAAAATGAATACTAACCTCTTCACATAGAATAGTTTATTTTCCTGTTGAGTTTGCACAATCTGCCAAAGAGAATCACAAGCCACCAGCCTTGTGAAAACTCCAACCTAATCTCACATGAAACCACATGAATTTATGCCACTGCATGATGTCATAGTCATGTAGCAGAATCTTCCACCAATAGCAGTGTAACACACCTCCATGCACATGAAGCCCTCTACATTTGTGCTTTTCAATTCTCATTCTTTTCCTCAGCACTATCGTGTACAGACATGTTTGAATTTGCTAATATTTTCAACATTTTTGATTTTCAGATTTCACTTGATTGAGTTTAGACGTACTCATTATGAATTCTCAGTTTAATCTGAACTCTTCTTCTGCTGATGTGAATGAAGTTATTATTCACACTGAACAAATTACCGACAAGTTGTCAAGAAGTTCTTTATCTGTGGAAGACATGTCAGCCATTTTCCAAAATGTGGTGGAGTCCATGGTGCCACCAAGACACTGCTTCAATCCATTCCACTCACTTCCCTTCCCCTTCCTTCAAATCCTCAGATTTCCGAAACCTTATTACTTAGGTATGTAAAGTTCTCTCTCTCTCTTTCACATATATCCTTTGACTCTTGCCGTTGTTTTTTTTACACAACTGTTCCCCTCATGATTTCTTTGTTTTTCCCATCTCCTCAGACATTGCTGTACATGTTACTTCCTTTTTAGATCAACTTCATTCCTGCAACATTATGCCTTGTCCTTCTTACCTGACTGATTCTTATGTTCTTACTTATGGTCACTCAAACTTCCTATTCATTGACACTCAGTTTTGGAATCTCTCTTGCCAGTTTGGGAGTACTAGAACACTCTCTCTCTCTCCCACAACCCTTACCAGATGGATCTGCCAGCTCATCTGTCTGGTTTATTCCTCTTTAAGAGTGGATGATTGTTAGTTTTTTCGTGTCTCCTCTCACCAGATTTAACACCTTATACATTCTCTTGCAACCCATTTTCAGGTCCTCTAAAGGAGATTCTCCATGTTGGCATGTGGACTATCCCCACACACCTACATCAGTCACTGTTTCCACCACCTGGATGTCTCATCTTCAGAGGGATTTAAACTTCTGCCGATAACCATACTTCAATCCACCTTTTGACTTTAAACAAATGAGTGTACTTAATATTTTTGTTACCCCACATATATAACTATGAAGCATCACAATCTTCTAGTAGACTGCTGCTACATATCACTATAATGATACATTATATATGGCTTTATCTACCTAATTTTTCTCGTGCACCTAAAATCTGTTAAGTAGAGTCTAGGTACACTCTCTATTTTCTCTATTTCCAGTCCATTCTACATTGTACTGTGAAAAAAAAATGCTCCCACAGCTGCCGTGTGGCCTGTAGTGACTGACAGTTGAGTGGGGGTATATTTAATATGGTCCCCCTCCTTACACAGCTAGCATTGGGCTCATAGAGAATAATGACAGAGTTAAGGTGACTCCACTGTGTATATATATGCCAGTGATGTATCACTCACATACCCGACTCCCACAGCAGATATGAGGCCCTTAGTGACTGATGGTAGAGAAGGAGAGGTGAGAAGGGATACTCATCAAAAGTGTCCTCCCACAGCTGGTTTTGGCCTGTCAAGTCCAATGTTAGAGGAGGTGAGTACACAAGTTATGGTCTAAACAAGCCTCTACCTCACTACACATATTGGCTGTCTGACAGCTTTTGTGAAAGTACTTGGCCAGTCATGTGCTTTTTCCACCCCCTCCTCTTGACACATTTCTGACTTTTCTACCTCTTATCTGGGTATACCTGGGATGAGACAAGATGCAGTTTCCTACAAGTGTGCTCTTATGGAGCCCATGCCATTGTATGGCAAACCTCATAGGCTTCCTTCAAATGGTTTCTGAAGGAAGCTCATCTAGGTAATTTTTGCACTAATCCCTCCACCATTTCACTGTGAAATTCTAGCTAATCTGTGCGTGTGAAGGCAAGTGTTTGTTTCGGAAGTTAACATTTTCCTTACCTGAAAATGTATTTCCACTAAATACCTCCACACACATTTCCACCCATCCTCCCCACTTTTCCAGTACACATTCTTTATTGCCTTATCAAAGAATGAGGATTCACAAGGGGAAGTGTAGAAGGCATTATTGCTTATGGATGAGTGTTGCACTCCTATTGGAGAAAGATTCTGCTGCATGGTTTCATGCAAGATTAGGTGGAATTTTTTACAAAGCTGGTGGCTTGCAAGTTTCTTTGGCAGATCATGTGAACTCAACAGGGAAATAAGCAATTCTTTGTGTAGAAGTGAGTATCTATCAGAAACACATTTTAAGGTAAGGTAAATGTTAAATTTGATGAAAGCAAATGTCTGAAGTCTAAACATATTATTAGAGCATCTTGGAAAAGCCATGATATAAAAATTTACCATGGTAACTTTTAATTGACATTCATATTGTTTTACTAGATTAGAAATAGTTAGTTATTGTTTAAGGCCTTAACTAGATTGCTATAGACTCAAGCTGTATGGATTTAATAAAACCTAAAAAAAAAACTTTTATAGTAATTAATAACTCAATCAAATGAAAATACTGACATGTAATATTTCTTTTTGATAATGTATGGGATGTCTGACTTTTTTTTTATTATTAATTTCTGAAAAAATTGGAGAGAGAGGCCTACCCCCACAGCAACGTTAGTAATAATGTGGGGATCGAGCATGAGACCTTCAAATCACAAGGCACCCCTACCCCATTTTCTTTGTGCTTGATAACAAACAAACATAATTACAATATTTTGATTGCTTGGATAGCTTGAATACTTGTAACAACTAATTTAAATTTGATGATGATTTTCATGACAGTCCATTTAGTCATAAGTTTGATTAATAAATTGTTGGAGTAATCAAAAACAGTCATCATCAGAAACATTAATTTCAGTTAGTTGATTATTTTCATGGCATTAATCAATTTAATTAGAATTTTCAGTAACCGAAATACTAATCAATGTAATTATTGCTCATGGGTGATAGATTATGTTGAATAAATCATTCAGCTCCTATGTTACTTTCATTATTACTGTGTTATAGTTATTTTTTACGTGATTCTTGATGTTTAATGTATTTAGGAGTCAACTTAATTTTAAAAAATTGATAAAATGTCAATAAGTAATGTAATTATATTTATACATTAACTTTATTCTCTTGCATTCACTGTGGCTGGGATGTATATTTCGCAGTGCACTGAGAAATGTATGTCCCAGCTGTAGTGAAAGGGATTAGGCTTTCTTTCCAGCTAATTGAAATTCTGTTGTTAAGTGAAGTAAAATAATACATCAATTTGTATTCTTTGATAGATTGTTTAGGCAGAATGTTCATGATCAGTAGTCTTTCGTCTTCAGGTACTGAAGACAGAAGACTTTTGAAATGTTGTCCTCCACAGTTTGGTTTAAAAAACAAATTCTTTCAGATGATGACTGTGCTTATTAACATTGTATCTTGTTTAGCCCAATAGCAGAGAAAGTTACCAAAAGAAAAATAATATGTCTACAAGTGTGTTCATGTGTTTTTTATGACTACAAACAAGTGTAGTAACAGGTGATCTTCTTTGTATCCAATATGCACAGTGACAAGATTTATTCTATTTGATATTGTGATCCACATTTTGTTTGTTTTTCAAAACTTCACAATCTTGTCAGATGTTGCTAGTTAACACCAATCCTTAAAACTTTGTAGTGGCAACTGGAAAATAACTTTCAATCACAACATTGGTTCAATAATACTGTAGTATTTTGCTATTTAAGCCTTTTTTCCCATAAATACTTAATCTTGCATTTTGAGGCTCAGTTCCTTTTTAATTAAATGTATTCGTTAATCATCCCTTGAGAACAATCATGTTTAGTGTTGAGAAAGGCAGACACATGGCATAGAATGATTTAGTTATTAATCTGTTTGTCTTGGTACCCTTCTGAGCTGAAGGTTTTATACATAACATTATGGCTTTATATGTATTTATACCACATAAATGGAATTTTATAAAGTTTAAATTACATAAACTTTAAAGAAATACTTATTAACTGGCTGTCATTGTAAGTTCATGAAAGTTGTGTAATTTAGTTTGGTTTGAACTGTCAAAAGGTAATTTGAATTAATTATTCCAAGAAAATAGTGTTTTGTACATTACATTAGCAGAAACAAGTTTAAACTTGTTCCATGAATAGTATTTTTTTTATATGTTAATACGAAAATATTCATTTTTGTTTTGTTAATATAAATTTTTGGTTACTGTTATTTCTCAACAAATGTAGATTTAAGTTAAAATGGTTTATCTTATGAAATTGTTTATTGCTGTTGTTACAGATGAAAATCCTGCTGGCAGTGGTTATAATAGTCATTCTTCTGATTATATTTGGTAAGATGTTATATTTGATTTTTGTTTAAAAGTCTTTCTTTTTGTTTTGTCATTCTGTACTAATTTTTCTTTTTCACTTTTAAGTAGTTCATATTTTCATTGTCTCTTGATTTACAGTTCCAATCCAGTTGTTTTATGTTTTACAATTCTAGTTTTCTGTGTCTTGTATTACATTTGTTATTTCTTCTTTTTAGTACCAGATTTTTTTGGTATAATTAATTTCCAATTTGTCTTTTTTTAACAGTTCCAATCATTGTAAAAAACACTTGAAACCTGTAACTTGGGAACTGCAACAAATGTTCAGGAAATAGCAGCAGAGGTGGTAAAGATTTTCAAGTTTTTAACTTATCAAGCAAGATGAATATTTGAACACATCACAGTCAATGTATATTTTGTTAGCCAGTTGCAAATATGATTGAAATCACATGCTCTGTAGTGAGTGTAAATCCCAAAGTTCATAGTGTGAGAGCACATTGTTAAAGGGAGACTTGTTCTGCTACTGTTGCAATGTGTTTGTTCTTAAAAATAACATATTGTTAATATTAAAATATATTAATAACATTTTGTAGAAGAGTTAGTTTTATCCAGGCCTACACAAGAGCCAAAATTAAAGTATCTTTACATTAGAACAGACTTTAGATTTCTTAGGTTTTAAGTAGTTTTTACACCAATGAGGAATTGGCAGTAGACAGCCGTATAATTGGCTTTTAGCCTGTACAAAATTAGTTAATGTAATACAAAAATCCTCTCTTTTTTTTTATTACTGTTTTTATTATTGGTTATAATCATTCATATATTAAGTTGAATGTTTGTTAGTAAGTCCTTCTAAAAATTCCATTTGTTTTTTTTTATTCGTAGTCTAAAAGTAAAAAACTCCAAATTTCGATAAAACCCTGTAAGAACATTTATTAGAGGCTCCCATTTCTACACATTGTCCTGATGCACCTGTAATTTAAGTAATATAAGAAAACTAAAATATGGAACTTTACAAACTCTTGAAAATCTCAGTAGTGTTTTGTTGTTTTTCCATTTTAATAAACTCCAAGAAAACAAGTTATTTTTAATACAAGTTTGAAAGTTTATTGTTCACTAAAGCTCTGGCATTAAAATTTACAGATTGGTTCATTTCTATCAGTCTGCAAACATCATATTTCTTTGTTTTTAGACTAACAGTGGTTTTTAAATTCTTTATTATTTTAATACATGCAATATAAGGATGTATTTATTTCAAATGGTTATATAATGTTTGTTGTTTGTGTAAGTATTGATATGTTTCTAATGGTTTAGAATATTTGAAAAGTGTTCATATATTTATTATACTAGAAACTCTTAAAAACAGACAAAGGTGTAAGTTTACCCAAATAATTAGTCCACTAAAAATTTTAAAGTTTTTAATTTTCAGCTAATACAATCTTTAAACAAATTTATAATCCAGTTTTTTTCTTTTTATGAAAATAGTTTACTGTAATTAAAAAAAATCATTACTAGACATTATGTGTGTGTTTCTCTCACAGAGTTTGAATATTACTATCTTGCTTTTTTATAGCTCAAACATAAAAATGTTTGACTTATTATTTAATTTTCTGGTTTATGCTTAACTTCTAAAGTTGAAATATTTGTTCATAAGAGATGACAAAAACAAACCATACCCAATTGTGTACTAAATGAACTGTCATTAGGCCAACTTAATTAGTAATAGTGAGTTTTATCCAATAAGACTGTATATCTAGGTATGTGGCTGAGTTAGCTTGAAACTGTTATGGCCAGATGAAAACATGGGATAGATAAAGCCAAAAAGAAATATTTTGTATTTTTGCTCATACAACAGAAGAACATGAAGAAAGCCCGAGTGCTAGGTAAAGATGGAATGTTAAGTAGCCTAAAATATACTTTTAACTAGGAAGGAATATAAAGGTATGTGTAAGCAAAAAGTAACCCAAACTTCATAGTGTTCATTGATTTGAGTAACTTTCCTGATTGTTTTTAGTTTTGCTTGACCAAAAGTAATATTCAACTAGCCTCTCTCTTTTTTTTTCATTTTTACAACGTGTTCTGAAATAATAGTACTTTCTCTTATTAATAGAAATATGGAAATGAATGCATATATTTGTTTAACACTGATTCTAATGGGTACACTCCTTAAATACACATGCATTAAAAACCCCAAAACTTGCTTTATACAACAGTATGTGAGTGTGGTTTTTATAACTAGCCCAGTTAGGAACATTGTTTGTAAAACTATTATGTATTGGAAAACTTTCAAGCTTTATGGACTTGTGCATCACAAGTTCATTCTGTATGTATTTTGTAACTTGAACTGTGGCAGCTACAAATATGATCATCTCTTTGAATGACAAATATAGAAGGAAAAAAATGATGGTATTTCTTATTATATTTATCACTCATATATTAATCATCATTCATTTGTTGCAAGTTATGCTCAAACTTTTGTTAAAAAGTATAAAATTTTGATTTTTAGATAATTTGTTAACTGAGTTCTCTAAGTCAAAACTGTAAAATGACAAATGATATATTTACTTTAAATAATTTTATTTGGTAATTATTTTGATTTTAACCATTGAAATTTACCTTAACCATACCAAAACTGCTTGTTTTTAATTATGGTTTTGGAATTTTTCTGATCTGGGAGTACTAAAAGCAAATGTTTTGCTTGCCATTCATTTGTATAACAATTCAACCTCTTGTTTGTATGTATATTTTGTTCAAAGTTCCCTTATTTGTAGGCAAATCTATCACTTTTCATTAGAATTCTTGGTGTAGCTTTTATTACACCCTACTTTTTCTTTCTTTCAACAGCAATTTCATGATGATCACATCAACTACATTTCAAACAAATTAAGCACCACAAACTTTTTACACTTACAAGTAATGTTTAGTATTGAAATATTTTTCTGCCATTCTTGTAACATATATTGACTAATTCCTCACTGTATGTTCTCTCTTTTTTAATGAAAATACTACAAAACAAGGAGTGGACTTTTATCAAAATATTGACAAAAATTATGTTAAGATAGAGTGAAAAATTGAAAATAGTTTGTGTTAGTGGATAGATGCCATCAAACTCTCTTTGCACAGTTGAAAGATCAAATAAAAACCTACTTTTAAAGCTGGGTTTCAATAGATGTTGCAAGCTATAGATTCATCACTATCTTCTATCTGGTTAGGGTAAAGACCAGTGGTTAAGATCTTACAATGAAAGTTTAAGTGCCTATATGGATTAAAGCACAGGTAAAATAAAACAAAGTATTACATCAATGTTAAGGTTATTACTTTGATTTCTATAGGAATGAGTGTATTATGTTATCTGAGGATTAAGATTATCGATATTTTAAATGTATTGGAAAAATGTGGAGTTAAAAATTTTTATCAGAATGGTGTGGGCACTGTTGGAAATTTAAATGATGGTCAACAGTGTACTATTGAGGCTTCAGAATGGTTCATTTGTGTGTGTGGGTTTTGTGCTTCCAAGTCAAACCTATTTTTGATTATTCTATAAGGAAGCCTTTCTTTTATTTCTAGTTTTAGCTTTTGAAATTACAGAATACATAAATAAAAATGTGTTATGTTTCCATATGTTTTTAAAGTATAGATAAGCTTTATTGAGATGAACAAATTTTGCTGTTTAATTTCTTGTATAAGGATGTGTGTGCCTTTACAACTGTTTCTCTTTTTTTTTTTCCTTATGTCACTCATGTTTATTTTGTACACCTTTCCTTCTGAGGTCCACACATTCCAGTAATTAAAGTCCCCTTTAAACCTATTAATTTTGAGCGTTAAAGTGTAGCAAAGGCAGTTGGTTGAATCAGTAATATCATCCATCACACATTACAGGCTTGTAGTGTTGATTGCAGTCATGTTATTGTTGCTAGAAGTCATGCATCTGAATGTAAAGTTATTATTGATGCATTATCTAAAATATATTTACCTATATATATCAGATTTTCTGGGTATGAATAGTAGGAAATTTGCACTGAAGTCTGTATAGTTCAGATTTAAAGGCCTGGTGATCCGTTCTCTTCTCTGATAAATTTTTATGTCAATTCTTCTTGCTTTAACTGTAAGATATGTACATGCAAATAAAAGCTATAATGTTAGATATTTGATCATATTAGGTTGAGAAAACTTAAACATTAAGATTTTTATAAACAGACTAATAACTTAATCCTGAAAGTAAAAGTAGGATCAAACACTCCATCTCACTTCTTAAAGACTGGTAAATATACCACTAAATTTTTTAATCAAATGCATTACAAGACACAGACTTTGATTACTTCATGTCTGATGACTTGGTATATGATCAGTTATGAAATGGTTCAATGGTAGTGAAGCACTTAAAATTTTAAGAAAACTTCAGTGATCAAAGCACTATCTTTTTTCATTTGAAATAAAATACTTTGATTTTTCCTGTATCATATAGTAGTTATATCATTTTATATGTTGTTTTGAATTCTTCAAAATTGCATAAACTACCAAATAAATTATATATATATATCACTATAATCACAATGTAAAATGGATAATAATCTTATTTCATCATGACTTGACAGAGATTTCTTTGTTGCAGTTATGATCTTCATGACAAGAGGTTGATATTGATTTTTCATTGCTGACACCAGTTTATTAAAAACCAGACAGCTGACATAATTTACCGATATTAACATTAAGAACATTGATTGAGTCAAAAGAACATAACAGTTCAATAGTTTCAACTTAAAAACAATTGTCTTCTTAATAATAAAAAAAAATCCTCAGGTACAATGTTATAAGAGCTATATGCAAGTATGGCCTCATCTTGCATAAAAGAATTCAAAAATAAATCAAACATTAAATCATCTCTCTAAATATAACCTGCCTATCAAAAAAAAATAAATCTTACAAACTGTTTTTCACTCCAGTTTTTCATCTGTCAAATCCTAGAAGTCGTTTTTTCCCTTAGTAGTTACATTGTAGAAGGTGCAGGGTATGAAGTAGAAAGATAAATTTCTTGGCATTTTCCCATTTCAAGCATTATATTCTATCATCATACATGTTGCCAACAGTGCTGAAAATACATTAACTTGCTGTCTCCAATTTTTAATATCATTGGCATCTTCTTTACCTTTTTTTTTACCTTCCATAATTTCAACAACTTGCCACTTTTCCAGTGAAAGAGTGACTCACTTAGGAACATATCAATTTGTTGTTTGCTTTATTTGCTCCAAGCAGAATATTGCAAATGTTATATGATAAACATGTAGGAGCTTGTTTTTTTTGCATTTGGGTATTTTTATAATGTGAAGTTTCCATAGTTGAACAGATATGACTATTTCTAATTGAAGACAGAATTTTCTCTCATTCTGAGGACTTGTAGGTTTTGTTAGAGAACACTAGTTTTAAATCTTTCTTTCTTAGTTGATTCACAAAGAAAATTTAAGTTATTTTCTTGCATATTGTTTTATGCAGTTTGTTACAACAAATATCAAACAGGAGATAAGTCTTAGATCTAATTTTTTTAGAAATATGTTTTTATTCTTCATCTCGAAAAAAATTACATTCATAACAAAATATTTTTTTGCTTATCAGCATTTTCCTGAGTGTAGGTCAGTATTTCTAATCTGTATAAGAATATTTTCCAAACATAATCTCAATACCAAAATAGTTTTGGCCTATACCAGTATTTCTAAAAACCCAAAATATTTACTAATATACTGGTCAATCTCTATTCATGACTAATTCAGCAAATAATGGGGTAAAGTTCACATGATTTTGTTAACAACAAATAGTGTTAGTGATTTTACTTTTCGCCAAGTTCAGGTCAAAGTATTAACCTCATCATAAAGTGCTGTAAAATTAGCATAGTTCTACTTTATTATAAAAAATTATATACTTAATTAAAATTTTTCTAGTCAATATAAAATTATTTACTGACATTAGGTACTTCATACAAAGTCAATGATGTTTCTTCTTTGCTTTGGATTATCACATCAAGATAATTTTTAAGTTTATAACAAATAATTTAAGTGATGATACTTTTACAGTTTGATAATTACAGAATACCTATTGATTGAAATTGTTTTAGCATGTGATAATTTGTTTTACTTATGTTGAAAATTGTTTATATGTAGCTGAAGAACTGTTATTTTGGTCAGTGATGTTTTAAATTAATATCTGGTAAGAAATGTCACTTTCTGAATTGTCAGTGCCTTTTCTTAATTTGTACATAAACTAATCATTGTAACATTTTTGTCAAGTAAACAGTTTTGTTCTGGATGATTGTTGGTATGTTGAAATCTACTGGTTAGTATATACATCTTGACAAAGGCAATAAAGTTTTATAATGACTAAGAGTATAAAAGCATTTGTGGATAGCAATTGTTTTTAGAAAAATTCAAAGGATATGCAAACAGTATAAAATCAGAACAATCTTCA